AGAACAAGCATCAGATAAAGAATGGATGGTTATGCTTTAAATGACGATGCTGCCTGTCTTTCCCAAATGAATAACACATTTTTATGTATAAGGCAATATATTTTAGGCTTTATCTTTATTTATCTGTAATCTTGCACTAATTGGTGACAGCTAATGGAAAAAAAAAACACATTGAAGGCTCTGCAACAGGCTTAATGTGCCTTTCTAAGGGTCTTCCTACCGCCTGGTCTATGCCATTTATGGACTGGCTGTCCATCATGTTTGAACAGTACTGTTCTTTATTCCTTGTAACAATCCATGTGTATATTCTTAGTGTTTTGGTCTTTTATGTTTCTAGAAGCTCATGCTTTATATTCTATTACTGCATGTAGAAACCAGCAAATGTAGATAGATATTTGAACCATCTCAATTCAGAAAAACAGTTTAATTCTGACCAGACTGGTAAGGTGTTGACTGGTCCGTGCTGAGGCATGATTAAAGATGATTGGTTGTGAAACTCCAGTTTCCTAGCGGCTTCTGAAATAGTATCATAATTTTTCTTGAATGATTGAGTAACACGATGGTATTTTACTGTATGTAGTGTCTGCATAAAACACAATGGCATTTTTGACAAGGGAGTTACTTTAAGACGATGCCAATCCACTTTGGTCTTGACCCCTCACTGGCAAGCCGTTCACATCAATGAAGCTAGAATTAATCTGTTTTTACAAATAGAAGCCATTGAAAAAGGTATTTACAAGAAAATATTGTCCAATCATTCCACAAAACCCTACTACAAAGGGTCTGAACTACGCCTCTAAAATGGCAGCGTCTGCAAATACAATTTGGTTGGGGTGATTCAGGAGATCACAAGTTGCTCCAAGGATTTTTATTGGTGTGCAAAATAAAATCGGCCAACTCTTATTAGACATAGAGTAAGTTATATTGTAGGATTCAAACGTGTGTTTGTTGTTTTTGTTTCATATTTATACATAGAACAGTTTTCATCTGTATTACAACAATTTATTTCAACCCTTAGATGGAAATTAATATCATATCTGAGTAATATCACTTTTTTATGCTCACAACTTAAAAAACTCAAGATTAAAGGTTGAAGGGTTTCAAATAGACCTACCCTTTACGATTGGCCTACCAAAACGTGTTATTTTCCATATCATTGGTAATCTGTAAGCAAGTTTAACTTTCCTGTTCCTCAAAACTGGTGGGAAAAGAAGAGAATATCCTTCTCAAGAGCGCGACTGTTTGGCTCAGGACAAGAAACGTCAGTAGATTAGCTCGGTAGCGATGGGGTGAATGCACACGTAGAGATCTGTAATCTGTATAATCATTGGAGCGCAAGGACAAAAGAGCTGGAAGTCCTTAGTTTGGCGTGAAGGATGGCTCACTCTCTTCCATGTGTGATTCTCTCCTCTGTACCTACATCGCATGCACACAGATGCGTCCTCCTCCCTGTCTGACTTCCATTTTTCCAGTATTTTTATTTTTTTTCTGCTCTGTGGTTTTTCACGGCTCCGTTGCCTCCGGTCTGTCGGCCTAACCGCAGGAATCTCTGCTGACGTCTCCGACCTATAAAACCACTGTGACCGAGAGAGATGCATCCAGAGGCGCAGGGAGATAAGAACGAGGAGACAATCGCATTAGGATTCACTTTACCGCTCGGACCGAGACCAGAAGTCAGGATTTAAATGTTTGGATCTCTATACTTAAGTCCCCAAATGGCTTTTTGTGCTTCAGCGGTCTGAGCTGCTCCCGGTTAAGCCGGTACAAATTAACGCGTTGTCATTAGGGGAACGACACAAACACATGAGGAGCCCCTTGTCTTGATGAGTGTCACTGCGTAAGTCGATCAGTCAGCGCCGTGGCTCTAAATACACACTGCTCGGGTCAGAGGTGAAGCATCCTGACGTCAAAGGATGTGCGTTTCCTTTGTGTCTGCACTCGTCATTACAGCTTCTAAAAATTATTTCATTTGTTTATTTGTATTTGCTCTCATGTTTCTGTTGCTCCACAGAGACCCCTGGTGGCTTGTAATGGGTACAGCATTTTTTTTCTGGGACTGTAGTGCAGGACATCATAGCATCCTAGAAGTCATCGTCCTCATTCACTTTCACACTTAACAATACATCAGCTGTCTTCAAGCTTTTTTTTTTTTTATATACAAACCTGATTTTACCTGCTAAGTCATCATCTTACTTCTGCTTCGGTTAAAGCAGGCTTCGGTGAAATAAACCCCTTGTTTTCTTTAAACTAGCACGTTCCCAACTCAACGCCGCAGTTATCTCCCACCTCACAGAGTTCTGAATGGTTGTCACAAGGCCAGTTGACAAGAATAACCACTAAAGAGAAGCTGGATCACCTGAAGGCACAGCTGATGCAGGTCTTTTTACTTCTCTCATCTTGTCCTAGGATTAACCTCACGTTGTTGTGCCACTGGTTGGAGCACACGTGCCATACGTTTTTCAGGTCCCTCTTGTAAATGAGTCCCCGAGGCTCAATGGGATTAACCTGTATAAATAAAGTTGAATGTAAAAAAGTTAATAAAAAGAGATCCAAAGCAGGGAGTGGCTCTGCGAGGTGTAGCCATGTAAAGATGGACAAACCGACTCTTACTGGTAACTAGAGAAATTGAATTTCCTGTGGCTATGCAGTGTGAATGCTTATTACTGAAGAACTTGCTGAAAAACAGCTGAAATTAGCTAAAAACATGCTGAGATGTATTGGAAATGGAAGAACAAACTAAAATGAGCAGCCAAAAGCAGAAAGAACACATATTTGCTGAATTACATTTAATTAAGCAGAAATTTGCATAAGAATTTGGAAATTTACTAAAAGTCTGAAATTAGCAACAGCAACAAAAAAAAGGCTGACAATACAGAAAGAAGCTTAAACTACTAGAAAGAAGTGGAAAAAAACTGAAATGAGCTCAAAATGTGGAATTAGCTACAAAATGCTGAATTTAGCATTAAAAAACAGCTAAATTGTAGTTAAAATGCTGAAAGGAGACAAGCTGGAATTAGCAGAAAGAAGTTAGTAGAAGAAGTAGCCAAAATTAACTTGGAAAAACTTGAATGTGTCTGAAAACAGCTGAAATTAGCTAAAAATGCTAAAGAGCTAACTGAAGGGTTAGCACAAGCTTAAATTTGCAGAAGAAAGCAGAAAGAACACGTTGACTGAAATAAACAGAAATGAGCATAAAGAAGGCAAAAAAAATCTGAAAAAAGATTCAACAAAAAAAAACAGCTGAAAAGTAGCTAAAATGCAGAAAGAAGCTTAAATTTCCAGAAGGAAGTGGAGAGAGCAATTTTTTTTCTGAATTAGGTAGAAAAAGTTTAAATGAGTTCCAAAAATGTGGAAATAGTTAAAAAAAAAAACAGCTAAAATTAGCATAAAACCGCTATATGAAATAATAGAAAAAGCTGAAAATTGCTGAAAGGAGCATAACAAGCTGAAATTAGCAGAAAGAAGTTAGAAGAAGCACAAAAATGTTGTAGTTAGCAGAAAGAATCTGACTGGAGCATAAAATAGCTAAAATTAGCTGAAAAATGTTTAAATTTGCAGAAGGAAGCTGAAAGAAGCTGAAGCAGAACAAAATGTGAAAGGAGCAGTAAAAGGTTGTGAACAGATCTAAAGATCTGAAGGATGGAAAATGAGCTCAGTTCGTTTTGTATGAGGAAAAACAGCAGAAAAAGCTAAATATTTCAAAAAGCTGAAGTTGTACCAATACCAAAAGTCATAGCAGGATTGTCCTGAATGAGCCGAATGTTTTGATTTATGATTTGTTGAAATAGCTTGAAAACTGCGGGACGAGAAAGATGAAAAGATGAAAACGTACGGTAGAAAAGACAATAGAGTGAATGCTTCAGAAACATAGCAACTATTAGGTGCTGCGACCGGAAACGGGTAGACCGCCCCCTCCAGGTCAGGGGAAGTCTTTGCCTCAGGTGGAGGAGTTTAAGTACCTGGGCCTCTTGTTCCTGATTGATTGGACCCTAACTAAGTCTGTGCACTTGGCATGGGGGCTGTACCCTCGATACCAACGTCTGAACACCCTTGGACTTGCTAACAGCGCAACACGTATATCAGAACATACAGCAGAAAGCTAAAGGCGATAGACTTTTGGAGATTAGTTAAGAACTCAAACTTTTTTGGGGGGTTGTTTTTTGTGTGTGTTTTTGTTGACATGGTGTTTAATAGCATTTTGCAAGTTTTAAATTTGTATTTTTGCTGCTCACCGTCTCAAAATCAGCACCCAATTGAGCCTCAATGTTATTCGAATCCATCAAGTCTTGTTTTTCTTCTAAATGAATGAAGGTTTTCCTTCTTTTCGGCCGTATTAAATGCTAAATGAACGAGAATTAACTTCATCGCCTCTTTACTTTCACAGATCCACTGGGGCAAAAAAAAAATAATAATCACCAGAACACCAGAGGAACTGAGCAGATGAGCTGCCGTTGTATTCAAAATTACAACTTTAACGTACAGGAAATTAAATGGGCTCGAGTATAAACCAATGAAGAAGCTTCATTGTGCTTCTACTTATTATTTCGCCCCCAAAAAATTATTTATCAATGCAGTGATTGAAGCTTGCAACCATTGAAGAGCTGAAGAGGTTTTATGGTGCCATCGAAGTGTTGCAAGGTTTGTTTGAAAAAGGTTCAAGAGTGTTTCAAAGTTTAACGAGCGTTCTGGGAATTTAAAAAGGTTAAAAACGGCCCATCTGGAGCGATAAAAATGGAATCATGGAGGCTGTTATTGGCTGTCCGACGGGTAAGAATGGAAATGAAACGAGGTTTAATCAGCAGAAATACGTAAAGATGTTCGGAATGAGAGCCTGCTGAATCAGAAATCACCAATTTGTTTTGCGCATGTAGCTACATCGAGGCTGTTTACATGAATATAAAATAACGCAACAAAGCAGCGTTCCTTATTTTCACATGAATCAGACGCTCTCAGCGGACCGCTCGTTTTTTTCTCATTTCCTCTCTGTTGTTTCCCCACAGGAAGTCCCGTCAACCTGACATGCAGAGCTTTCTTTGGCTACATCGGAGACGTCAGTCCACTTATCTACTGGATGAAAGGGGATAAGTTTATCGAAGATCTTGACGAGGAGCGCGTCCAAGAGAGCGACATCAAGTAAGAGCTCATCGAGTCTAATGAACAGGTTTTACAACAACTTAAGACAAAAACATACCATCAAATATCTGGATAAGTTACGATAAATGTGAGTCAGAAAGGGAGAACGAAACCTAAAGGGATTAAATCATCTGCCAATAAAACTTCAAAAGTCCTGACACATCAACCAGATCATTCACATACAAAATAAACAACTTTGATCCCAACACAGAGCCCTGAGGAACTCCACATCCATTAACACAAAATTCAGATCTTACATCATTTACCTGTACAAATTGTCTCCTGTTATTCAAATAACTAGTGCTAATCCTCTAATGCCATATTTATTCAGTTTTTCAAGGAGAATAGTTCAAGAAAAGTTCAATTAACTGTGGCAGCCATCTTGATTTGCATCAACTCCGAAGCGTAATCAATGGTTCATGGGATATTTTGCTAACAGTACAACGACATGAACACACCAGATATGTCATTGTACAGTTGTAAGTCACTTACAGTTTGTCTTCATGTCCAGGGAAGAACCTCAAACAAACTGGTACTGAGGCTCTTAGACAATTTTAATCTGGCCCCGGATATCCTGAACTGAAAAGAAAACTTTAAAATAAGTAGATTAAAATGTGTACCTTTTCAATAAAACTTAAGGAAGTCTAAATTAAACGTCTTGGACAAATACGTATAACTTGTTTTTTGCATATTTTAGCCAGTTTACAGAAAAAAAAGTATTATTTAAGTTTTGACCAAGCATGCTAGCTATGCTAAAAGAAAAGAAAAACTAGAAATATCTTCCAGATTATTTGTATTCAGGAAAAACTTCGCTGTTCACTCTGCCACCCTTCGATTGATTTAAATAACTCTACACTGCACTGTTCGGGAACTGCAAACCACTTTTTGGCTGTAATGAGACAACAGCGCAACTGGAGACCCCGGAATTGGCGCCACCAAAGGGGGTCTGGGGGAGTAATGCTCACCTCTAAAAAAAATTTGGTGGCCCCCCTTGGCCACACCGTTTTATCTTCCTGAGCCATAAGCTTTTGCTTGGTGTGCATTTTTAATTTCCCCGAGCTTTTTTCGGTTTAGTAGAACTTCATAAACCTTAAAAACAAACCTCGTTTGCGTCTCAAGGGTTATACGCTTTTTTTTCTTAATTGACATATAAATTTAGTAGAGGATAATGTTCGGTAAGTTGAGTAGTGGTTATACTTTTCTCAGTATCAACTGTAAGTAAAAATAAAACTAAAGTTAGATGTATGCATGTCAAAAGGGGTGTCCCTTTACCGTGTTACTGTAATTGTTGAACAACCTGAAAATGGCTTAAAAAAAATCACCTGAAATTCTGTTCTGGGTCTTGGTTTTGGTGCCTCACCTCAGGATTGTCAGGGCCACCTCATTAAAATCTCCTGCAGAAACCAATGGACCTTGGTCTTTTTGCCTACGGACCTGGGGACACACAATCAAATAAACGTCGCTGGTAAGAAGGGAGTACTTCTGACAAAACCCCAAAGATAGACTGAAGAAACTTTTCTGGTTTGTTTAAAACTCCTATTAGTTTACATTCACCTTCTGCTCTCGGGTTAATTTCCATTTATAGATCGTAATTATTTTATTCTTCAACGAACCTCAAAGCGTCAAACGGTTCTTCAGTCGAATCGTAGCTGAAGAGTCCTGGAATGATGGCCCAGATTGACGATCTTTAACTAAACCTGAATAAACACACTATACCAACGGCACCGCAACAGATTTTTACCATAAAACAATAAAACCACGTTCCTAACAACTATAGTGTAATTAACTGAGACATTGACGGGCGCATCACTCAGAGCGCCATTCGTTTCCAAAATTACCGAGTAGTTTATCTGCAGTTTATCGTAGGGGCCATCTGGTAAAAGGTCGAAGCTTCCTTGATGGTTGGGGCTGATGTCAACGGGACGATACACCAACTCCAAGCTGCACTTCGTTTAGAGACAATAAGCTGACCATTAGCTGGTGAAGGTCAGCCAAAAGTGAATAATCAATCGTTGTAATGAGGATCTGTCAGACAGCATGTATCAAACACTGAGACACCTTTACTTTACCATCTTTTGGTAGTAAAGTGCTTTAAATGTGACCAGAGTTAGCAGTAACTGATTATAGGCTCTGTCAAGAAGATGATGAGGTATATGTTTTTTTACCCACATTTAATTTTTCAAGGCCCCACTCTGACACGAATCCTTTCACGCCCCATCCACACGTGTGACCATAAAAATCTCTGTTTCTGGACAAACATCGTCGAATGAAAAGGTTAACCGTGACAAGGCTGGGAGGAGACACAGGCCAAGCCGGTGACCTGGCATTTCGAGATGTCTCTCTTAGCCTGCTAGCGCCGTCGGGCTCTTAGCGCCACTCTCCACGGTGAAGGACGCCAGGCCAATTAGAGCCTGTGGAGTTTGAGGGGGGTAGCGGGGGTTGGCAGGTGGCAGAGTTAGGATGGTGGTTTGATAATGATAAGAAAGAAACGTGCAGTTAGAGCTGCTTTCAAAGTACGAGCAGAGGCCACGCTTGCATACACCTTGGGTGTTTGAAACGCTGCACAGTGCCGTCTCCCTGCGAGTGTTCGTTTTATTTTCTACTCCCGTTTGAGCGAGCATCGCTCCAAACCTGTTCCCTGACGTCATTCCACGCACTTTTAGCTTTGAAATGGAAATAAATCACACAGGCGTGTTCCCCGTATGGGCCGCTCGCAATACCCGGAACGGAGCTATGGGCATAACGTTTGGCGTCTCCGAGGTCCGAGGAGGCCGACGCGGTCGTATCGTGGCTTTGCGGAAGTGAAGCACAAATACAAAGAAGGTGGCGGTTCCAGTCCCTGCTGCATGGACACCGAGCGCCCATTTAATTAATGTTTCGACCAATGTATTCCTGAGACAACTGGGAACGTAGAAGCTCCAGCTCTGCAGTCGTGTCTTTAAATAGACCAGGTGTTCCTTGAAGGAATGCATATTCACCTGCCAAGTTGCTTTGCTTCGCTAGCTCTCCAAGTATGTGTTGTGAATGACGCTCAGCTACTGCCACACTGAATTTTAGCACAATATCTGTTAAACTGCCTGAGCTACAGCTGATTATGGCGTTTACAGACGTTTAATAGCCGCAGCAGCCATCTTGATTAGGGAACACCTTCTTTGGCACCCATTTATGTATTATTGTTATTGTCATGTCAAAATCCAAGATGACCACCACCATATATATATATACAGTACTCCCTCATTTATCTGAAGCTCCGTGATATATGAAAAACCGCGAAATAGAAATTGTAATACAAGTAGTATGTAGTAGTTTATTTCAGAATTTATATATATATATATATATAAACGCCTTCCCACACTCTTGCAATATTCTAAACAATGTTTCTAAACTCTAAACGCTCTAAAAGATCACAGAACGTCATGAACTCAGCTCTCTGCCTTTGGCTGCTCTCTGCCAGTGCTCTCAGCCACGCCCACTCCTCCGCTGCTGAGTGGAGATCAGCTGCAGGAGAAAGCTTCTCCTGCAGCTGTGGGCTACAAGAGAAGGTTCTAATGCTGATCATGTGGCTCATCCATCAATCAACCAATAGTGTGTGTCATGTCCACTCTTATTTTGAAAAACCGTGAGTTATGGGACTGGTGGCGCAGAGGTTAGAAAAGGTGGGCCTGTGATCTAAAGGTCGCCGATTGGACGCACCAGACTGACAGCATCAAAATAAGGGTGGGAAAGATGAAACACCCACACCTGCCTCCACCCTCATTTCCCCACTCTGGGCTCTTGATCAAGGCCTGTAACCCCCACCATCTGCTCCCCCGGGCGCCCTAGATGGCAGCTCTCTGCTCCACACAGAGGACTGTGGTAGATTGGTGGTCTGTGGTTGTCAGGAAGGCCATCCGGTGTAAAATCAATTTCCAAGTCTTCGTGCGAGTTAGTTCGCTGTGGTCACCCCTGAAGAAGGGAGCAGCCAAAAGAAGAAGGCAAAAACATTTTATATTTATATACATATATATGTGTATATATACTGGCCACTCAAATAACCGTAGGATACGTTGAGTTTTTCATTTTTATTTTGCCTAAAAGTATAGTTTCCTCGAATGATGGGGCTGGCCAAAGATGAATCTATGATGGGCAAGGCCACCATTGGCCACCCCCTTTTCTCGGCCATTGTGGTGAATAAAATTGCTCCCCAGTGTCCCCTACAAGCAAAATAAATAAATAAAGTTCGTCTGGCGAAGGCTAATGCGTCTCAAGATCTTACAATATCGCTTAAACGGTTTTCAAAATCCCAGGTGAACATAAAAAGCCCCTCGTTGTTTGGTTTTATTACTGGAAGCACCTGTGATGTCTGTGTGTGGTCAATAAAAAGAAGTTTCACTGCAGAGGGGTTTGTTTTTGTTTTTTCTGTGGGATACCAGTTATTAGCAGCGTTTCGTGGTGGTGATGCATCTCCATGGCAGCAGTGGTCGAGCGGCGGTGCGTCCTTGTGTTCGCAGCACTTCACAATCTGCTTTATTTTCGAGCGTTCATTGATCAAAAAGAATTAGATGGGTTTTCGTATTCAAACGCCCTGCGGCCGGCAGGAGATGAATGCCCAAGTGGCACTCGCACCTTTTTCGCACTATTAGCCCCACGCATCATTAAACAGGGGCTTGAAATAGCTCCACAAACTTTCAGGCTTTTTGCAGCTCAGCAGGTGAGATTCGAGCTTTACGGCCATTATTCTTCTCCTTTTGTCTCTTTAACTGACCGAACTGCTTCATGGGCAGGTGCTGCTTTGGATTTCCCATCTAAACGTTTGGTTTCAGATTAATCGTTTAGATCATAAGTTGTGTTTTTTGTTTTCTTGCGCCAGTGAAAGGCTACAGTGTAAATTCTGCTCACAGTTGGAGAAAATTCAAGTTTTTGTAAGAAATGGAGTTTAAAATTCAAGGAAGGCAACCATTCATTCAACCTTTATTTATACAGGTTAGTCTTACTGAGCCTCGAGGACTCATTTACAAGAG